TAATGTGCTGCTTATCTATGGTTTATGGTTTCCAGTGGCGCATGTGAATCATAGAATGAAGCATTTATTTTACGAAATGTAAGCTTCCCTTGTTTATTTATTAAGTTGATAGTATTGTCATTAAGCATGCATGTATTTAACTTCTTCAGGTAGTTCCATCTGTGGCCATTGGCTTTACAGTCTATGATACGATGAAATCAATTCTTAAGGTACCATCTCGAGATGAAATTACTATCCCAGTAGTAACCGAAGAAAGAAGTAGCTCATCATCTCTTCATTCTGGTTGATCGCCCGCATACCTATCAAAATTTTCATGTCAACAAATAACAACCTATGTTTGTTCACAATTTCTGCTTCTGAGGGCACATTCCTCTGTACATTATAACCGCCCCTCTCTATACCCCTTCATTGTTTTGGGGGATATTTTTTGCCCAGAGAAGCCACAATTTTTTTTCCCCTTCAGTGCTGATAAATAAGCCATCAATGATTCTTTGTTGTATTTGGATCGATATAAATACTTACTGAAATTATGTCGTCATTATACACATGGTAATCCTTGTACGGCATGTTGCTTCTTGTTCGACCGTGCTCCGCCTCTACTTCTGTAGTCAAGAGAATGGTAAACATTTTCATGAAATATACTATACCACACATAAACTCATCATGCTGCGCGTTCAGGAAATTTATTGGTGAAATGGAGCTCGTCATTTTTGTCCATGTATCTTCTGAATTTTTGGTTCTAGTATTATCTAAACCGGGCAGAGAACTTCAGATAGAGCAGAACTTCAGATGCAGCATGGCATCCTCCTGCACAAGCTAAGGCTTGTAGTTGACTGTGATATGACCTTTAACTTTTTTAGTTTCTAAGAGCTAGCTAATGTAAGAGGGTAAACTTAAAAAACTACATGAACTCTTCAAAGTTTGCTCAAAAACTAAGCTGAACTTTATTCGCTAAAAGAACTAACATGTTTGGCAAAAGGAAAGTAAATAGAAAGAGAAGAAATAAGAAGTATTTTCTTATGAAGATATTTTCGTATCGTTTTCTATTTTGTAAAATCTTGTTTGATGTTAGAAAGTAAAAAAGAGAGAACACCGAGGTGGCAAGCGACGTGGTACTTCCTTTCTTCTTGTTCTATTTGGTTATCATGGAAAGTAATAGTTGAAAGTGGACAAGTAAAGCTAAAATGATACGTAAAAAATCTAAAAATATATTCACTCTCCTCTCTGTTCACTTTCCATCCATTTTCTCCAAAATTTAGGGAAAGTGAAGTGAGTTAAAATGTGTTAATGTGGCACTCTTTACTTCTCAATCACTTTTCATAGATTTGCCAAATCCCTAACAGGATAAAAATAAAAAGTGGAGTCACTTTTTAATTTTCGGTGCACTCTCCATTTACTTCCCGATTGTCAAACACGCACTTGGTATTATCCATTGACTTGATATTGTCCACTATCAAAAAGTAAAGTAGTAGAAAAATCATTATTCTTATAATCGTTGATTATTTGATGTGCAATTGTGATTCATTTTAAATCAAACGTTTATTATATATTCCCAGAACAATAAAAATGGGATAAAGTTCATGTCTACTTGGATAACTTTAAAAAAAACGCCCCTGTAGTGTTGCTGTTTCGAACTTAATACCCTCTAGTTTTGCTGTCACAAATAGACCCCCTAAGCGAATGTTTTTGACTATTTAACCTTAAGGGATCTATATGTCAAAAAACAATTTTTAGGGTAATAGAATCAAATATTCACTCAAACAGTCTATCTACAACAATAAAACTATAGTGACAGTAAGTTAATTACATCGATACTAAAGAGCGTCTATCCCCAACTAACCCTAGATAAATTTTATCGTATTTTCCTAGAACCAGTAAGACATATTCGCATCTATGTAAAATAGAGCCGATTATTTGTTGAAAAGGTGAAACGACTGCTTCAGGCTTTTTAAATAGTGGAGTTTGTTCCAGTTCAAAAAAAAAAAAAAATAGTGGAGTTTGTTCATGGCAGCAAAAAAAATTCAAGTACAGGTGCCAAAC